ATTTTTAATGAGCATAAGAGCCATTCTGTTGCACCTCTCCCATCTCTCATGTACTATTTTATCTTCAGCAGTACTTTTATCAGTGAGGGCAGGAGGGGCAGGCTCTCTCAGTGCATAATCAAAATCCAACATGCCAAGAGTTAGCATCAGTGAATCTTTCCATGAAGAAAAATTCGCACCGTTCAAGGTTTCAATTCCCATATTTGGGGCTGATAGTGGATTCAGATGAGAGAAATAAGACACATAACAAAAGAAGAAGTTAAGGGGTAATGAACTAAGGCTGGCGAACTTAAGGACCATTATATAGTAATGAAGCTGTGATAAGAGTCTATTATAACACCAAAATAATAGACTAAATTTAATTCTACTTAAACAAATGGCTTTCACTTTGGTTATGACCACTTATTTAAGCATTATGAATAATAAAATAATCATGTGCAATTTGAATGTTACACATCACCTTTGGGCAGAAGTGAAACATTTAAATTTTAATGCACATATATATTTAGTTCGCAGTACACAATTATAACACATCATCTTTGGACAGAAGTGAAATATTATGTATTTAAGGCGAGTGTCATGTAAACATCCATTTAAGGATATGCACTAAGTGACTATGCTTAATAAGACTTGAAATAAATTTTACAAATGTTACACATCACTTTTGGGCAGAAGTGCACTCTAAGGTATTATTCAAGTCAAGCAAAGTAAATCAATTTAACTAATCATAAAAAAATAAATTTTATTTAAGATTAGTCAAATGATTTATAATTTATTGTTAATAATTAATTAGCCGCAAAAATTAAAGCGGTTTCGGGGCGGGGCTACGAAAAATTGAGGACCCATTAAGATTAATTTAATTCGAAACCATAAGGCATAAAAGAGGTGATTTCGAATAAACAAGTAATTCTTATGAGACAGGTGATTTCGAATAAACAAATAATTCCGAAAACACAATTTATTTTAGGATAAAATCTGATTTCTAAAATTAGGTGGTATCTTTTTTTTTCTTTTTTTTGAGACTTTAGAATGGATACACACAAATCAGATTGCTATTATCCAATACTGACAAAAAACATGATGAACACATATGAACACCCCTTTTTTTTAATAGGATCGGTACTTATTAAAAAATTGGAAACACAATCAATAACATTAAAGAATAAATTTCGGGAACCGATCTAGATTTTTAATGAGATCTGAACCAGTTCGTAATGATGATTTGCAATATTCAAACAATTGTGAAATTCATCTATTGCGGCGGAGGAAAAAAAAACAACAGGGCAACCAAAACTGAAAACCGAAAGTCTCAAAACGATTCTCTTTAGGGTTAAACTTGTTTTATTTTCATGATTTTGATTCCAACTTACGGAAATAGAATTGATTAATCAACATAACGCTCCGATACCACATGTTGAACAATTCTTAAACATAAAATATAAATTAAGGATTTAATCATGTGTACCTGATAATCCTGTAAACGCAGTTAGGGATGAGGCCATGACTCTTCGAGTTCCCGTTTAGGGTGTATTGTTATGATGGCTAAGGTGAGAATGACTCACGAGAACAGAGAGGCAGAGAGGAAGCGTAAGATTGGTGTGTTGATCTCTGCCTAATGACCTCTATTTATATACACCCAAGGGGAAACCCTAATTAGGTCATAAGGGTCCATCGAATAATTACCAAATAAATACGTAGGGTATTTATTAGGTCAATGATCAATTAATTAGATAAATGATAACTCAGGCCACATAATAAAAACGTGTCCAACACACCATGCCAAAGATGGCAATGTATAGTGTCAATGTGTAAATATCAATAATAAAGTAAAAATACTACTAGTAAGAAATAATGTCATTTGCCAACCTACAATGCCACGTTTCGAATCAAAATGTCAACAACAAAAATTTAAATGCAAAAGACTCTAACCTTGCATATCAATAGTTAGATCTCAAAATCTATTACTTCTTCCTTCTTCATCAGACCTGGTCTAAGAGCTTGCTAGAGGTGTTCTTTATCGTTAGTTAGGAGTTTAGGTCGAGTGCAGAAGTCGTGGCCAGAGCTCGTCGGAGGTGGACATGTTGGAATTTGCGGGGCTGCACCGAAGACATCATCAACGAACGAATTTCCGATGAAATTCTACATGGCAGATAGCGACAATTAGGGTGGAGGTGACGACGGCAACCGCGCTGCCATGAGAGTGTGATAGGTCTTATTTTAGGAATAGAAATTGGCACTTCAATTTTGAAGATAAAGACTACTCCATCCGTTTGGAAAAAGTGTTCCTCTTTTGACTTTGTGTAAAAATAAGGAAGTATTAAATTGTAGTTGACTTCCAATTTTGCCCTTGATGTGATAGATAAAAGTAAAATGTGATGGATAGATTATTAGAGATAAAGTATGATGTGATAGGTAGGATATGAAAAAGCAAGGGTAAAAGTGGTTTTTTAATAGAAAGTGGAAGTGTTTTGTTGGAAGTGAAAAAAATGAAAGCGGAAGTGTTTTTGTGAACGGAGGGAGTATATTTTAGTTCTACCAAGAGTATTTACTTGAAGGTAGATTATCTGAAATAATCCACTTTTTGGAGGTCTTCCAAAATAATCTTACCTTTAATGTTATTCTGTATGTGAAATAATCCTTGTAGAAAATTAGAATGGAGGAAGAACACTACAAAGTATCGTTAACGAAGATTGAGAATCACTTAGAACGCTTTCAGATCAAAGCTATTTTGGACTATATGAAATACTTTAATCGGATAAGACGTTAATTAAGAACAAGCCTTTCGAATCATATCTTCAACCATACCCGAGCGTCTCTATCTATAGAGATGAGAATCGACGATCAGACATGATCTTTCGCGTAAAAGTTTGCAAAATTTCGCGTGGTAGGGATAAATGCAGACTTTCAATGTTTTGGACGCAAACGATCATAGAGTTTGGTCAAATTGGTCTTTATCCAAAGTTCAGGGTTTTTTAATATTTTAGACTCCAATCACGAAATTTGAAGGATTTTCTGTTAGAATATAAATAAGTCATTCTGGGCTACAACCACAAGCTTGAGCTTTTGGTTGAATTGGTTCCTTGACATGGTATCAAAGCCTCGTTGACTAAGAGGTCACGGATTCGAAACTTTGCGCCACCCAGTTTAAAAAAAATTAAGGTTTCACGTGCAAGGCTCGAAAAAAAGACTACGCCTGCACGTGAGGGTGCGTGTTAGAATATAAATAACTGTTCCTGGACCACAACCATAAGCTTGAGCTTTTGGTTGAATTGGTTCATTGACATTTTCTAATAATGTCCAAAATAAAAAATTGCTCGACCCCGGCCAGGGGCTCTGCCCCTTGGACCTCACTACCAGGGGCCGCCCCCCAGACCCCCATCTTGAATTCGTAATATTGTTGAACGAGTGCACACTCCGTGCCTCCTAACTCGTTAGACAACGTCTATTCAAATTCTTGTCTGATCTAAGCAAATCCAATCAGAAAAAATAACTGATGACACTATTATCACCAACAATCCCAACTTTTTAAATTGTTTGTTTGTTTCCCTGACATGGTATCAAGACCTTATTGATTATGAGGTAATGGGCTCAAAATCAACGCTATCTAGATTTTAAAAAAAAGTTTTACGTGCAAGACTCGAAATAGTCATGCTTGCACGTAAGGGGGCATGTTAGAAAATAAAAACATTTCTTAGGCCGACAATTAGAAGCTCGAGCTTTTTGTTGAGTTTGTTACTTGAGAGATGAGTTGGAGGAAATCTTTTTGTTTTGTTGTTTGCCCAAAACAACTCCACTTTTCGTGAAGTTGCGCAAAATAAACTCACATTCTCTTGAATTGCTTCTGATATTCCTGGCTTGTAATTTCTTTTTTAAACTTTTTATCTTAATGAATTGTTATTGAAATAAATATATAAAACTTTTTAACTAATCAAGATAAATTTGCCTGGAATGGAGGAAAAACTAAAAAAAATAGAACGCAACTACAACTTTAGTGTGATTATTTTTTGATAGATAAAAGATATGATCACTTCGTATTTTAGTTAAAACAAATAAAATATAAAATAAACTAGTTTAACTTCATTAGTCAAATAGTTTCTTTTGTTTTTATTGATTTTAGAGTTAAATTAGTTTTTTTATTGATTTTAACTAAAATAAAAATTAATCCCACCATCCCACCTATTTATGGTCTACCAAAAAATAATTGTGCCAAAGTTATCGTTGAACTCAATTTATTTTTTCTAAATTTTTTATCAATTCAAGATTGTTGGAAGGATATAATAATGGAGAGTACAAGGGATACAAATAGGAAGCATACCTAATACAAGTAAGAATCAACCCAATAATAGAAGGTGACTAATAAGCAAACACTACCATATATAACTAACACTAGCATAAGCGTTATTATTATTATTATTATTATTATTATTTTCTAACATTCCCTCTCAAGCAAAGTTTGACTGAAGCAAGAGGAAGGTTGAAAACAAGCTGGGAAGTAAAAATCTTGAGAAGAAAAGTTTGACGTGCACGAATAGCTACTTACATCGAAAAAAGAGAGAAACTTGACGTGCGTCGTTAGCTGCTGACGTCAAAAATAAGAGAAAGAAGGCTATCGAAGGCTCCTATTTGACTGAAGATTCTTGACATTCTTTGTCTTGTTCTTGGATCAGGGCAATGCCTTATTTCTTTTCTTCAGTTGTGGAAATCTTTTATAGCCTTCTTGGAGGAGTGAGTTGTTAAGGTATTCTTCTTCTTCCTCTGTCTCCTCCTGGGCTGGCTTTGCTTTTGTTTTAATTTGCTTTGGGTCTTTATTGGTTTTACAAAAGAGAAAGAGAAGGGTGATTGATGATTAAGAATGAGTGATTTGAGAGAGAGAAAGAAAAAAAGTGAACTAAGAATATGTGATGGAGAAGTTATGTTGGTGAGATTCTCTCTCTCCATGCAAGAAAAACAAGGAATAACTAAAGTCAAGAGGAATGCAAGGAGGCTAAAGACAAACAAACAGCCTGAGCATAAAGACCTCGACAACCCAATTATCCTAGTCTTAGATTTCTAGATTTTCCTATCTAAAGTCATATTCTCACTAAGGACAAGAGTCTTAAAATTCTGCCTGATCACCTCCTATAATTTGTAAATAAGATTATTTTAGAAATCATAAATTTTTACACGTTAAAATAAGATAAAAGGTTTTGGGATAACACACCGCTCATTTGGAGATTGGAAAGGCAAATCAAAAAATTAATGGATGCACTGCAAGATATATGGCTTTTGCCAAATACCAACAGACGTCCAGTGTCAAGAAAAAATCTCTATTGGTAATTGAAAAACAGCAATATGGCAGTAAACAATTTGGAAGAAAAATACTCTTTTGTTATGTTCTTTCTGTATAATGGTCTCCCCTATATATATATATATATATATATATATATATATATATATATATATATATATATATATATATATATATATATATATATATATATATATATATATATATATATATATATATATATATATATATATATATATATATATATATATATATATATGTGAGAAGTTTCCCAAAACCTATTAGGAAAAGAATTCTACTAAACAACACAAATTGATTCCAACAAGTAAGAAAACCAAGTCATGCTAGGACTGGAACACTGCCGGCACCGAAATCCACCTTGCGCCCCACGGTCCATGCGTAACATCCCCTCAAGCTGGAGCATGGGGGTTCCGCGTGCCCAGCTTGTGTTGGAATGCATGAGTTGAGTTCAACCCTTTCTGTGTTGTTTAGTGTTGACTCACATGTTTTGATAATTGACAAACACAATTTATTCAAGTCAAGATCAAAGTGCTACAACGACAAACATGAAGACTTGAAGTGTCATTCCTTGACGTAATTCAAGAAGGTGCACAAGATTTTATTGGAGTCCGAGACGCGTTCGGAGCGCCTAGCGGAGGACTCGGAGGAGTAGAAGACAAAAATATCTTCTCTCCAAAATTATTTTTATGAGATTTAAAATAAAAATTATATTTATTTTTGGTGTCAGTTGAAAAATCTTTTTAACTGTTCAAAATAGTTTTATTGAGTCAGTTACAAAAGGTGTGCCAAACATTTATCAAATATTTATTTTGATATTATAAAATATTTTTGGTAAGCAAAAATATTTTATTCAAATATTTTTCGTGTACATCGTTTGACACACAAAATAATTTTGGGACTCACTTTTTACTTCCTTATTCAAATTCATTGAACAAGAGGAGCGTTCCCTGATTCTTCTTGTCTCAAACAACGAGTTTGAGCCAATTCGCTCTCAATCGCAACTGGCTTTGGACCCTTTGTGTTTGCGCATTATTTCCTCATTAATTGATTAATCGTCCAAAATTAATCGATTAATTGCTTATCGTTGGATTACCTTGGCTGGAACACTAATTGATTTTCTTTCTTCATTTAATTGACTAGTTCGGACAGAGCCAACTAATCAATTTTTTATCTTCCATTAATCGATTATCCTTCTCTTCACAGACTGCATTAATCGATTACTATCAGTGCATTAATCGATAATTATGCTGCATTTTTCATCCCAGCTTCTTTTCTTGGACCAACGCATATATTTTATCAACTCCTATTTAAACACCCTTCCTTGGTCATTTTTCTCAACAAGAAACACTCCAATACTCCCCATTCTTGAGGTGTTAATCCTTCATCAATCTTTCCTCAAATTTATATCATTTTGAGAGAAAACTATTTGTTTTTAAGAGAGGTTTCTTGTCATCCATTATAGCTTTAATCATTTCTCATTTCTACTCTTTTGAGAATTTATGTTGAGAGGTTGAAGAAGATTGTTCTTCTTGTTGTTCAAGACTTATGTGACTTAAGTCTTGGTTGTGAAGTCTTGTAGAGGGCATATCTACGAGCGTTTGTGTTGAGGCTTGTGGGATTCAAGTTCTCGAGTTGTAAATGGTTTGTTAAGCACCCGTAAGCTTAACGGAAGTAGTGGTAGCTTCGAGAGAGTTTCTCGAGGAACTGGACTAGCCACGAGGTGGTGAACCAGTATACATCGGTGTGTTCTTTTCCTTCTCTCTTTTATTTCCGCTGCACTTACGTTTATATTATTAATCCTGCGAAAATCAGTAATCATTGTCAACAACTCTATTCACCCCCCTCTAGAGTTGCACGCCTTGTCTAACAGCTTGGACAAAA